AGTGAGAAAAAAAACGTAGACGCACCATCATCGGCCAATAATATTCAAGCGAACTCGCGGCATATTTTCTAAGTATTTTATATTACAACGACAACAAATTCATTCATAAAGAACGTGCGTCTGCTTCAAAGCAAAGTGCGCTCGTTCATAACTCTGCGCCGCGCTATTTTTTCTGTGCGCCTGGTAAACCACATTTGGTTTTCATATAGAATTCCTACGCAAAAGTTTATAAAAAATGAATGAATGAAATTGAATTTTGAATGTCTTCAGTAAAATTGAAGAAGTTCCAATTTTACAACTGATCCTACCATTCCCCTCGCATTTGTATGTTGCCCACAAGCTGCTGCCTCACAATATTTGCTAAAAATCAGAAATTGAAGAATTTGTCTGATGTTCACTTCAGAAAGGAGAATTGGCAACATGACCTCTTAGCGAGTTTAAATAATATTTATATTTTTGCATATTATGCACTATTTATGGCATTAAATTACAAAATTTATATTAAATTGCCATTCATATGAAATCATTAACTACTTCTATATATTCTAAGCACAGTCCATATAGTACTTTTATATGTTTACTTATTATCATTATTTCATAGTTTGTCGATTTAGCCCATTTTATCCAAATACGACGCTATGAAAATGCAGCCCAATCGGTAATCGCAATATTTCAAAAGAGCATAAGTCAATTTTCAACAGCAAAGCCCTGCAAAAAGGACAAACGAGACAACATAGCCGATCGACATTGTCGCAAAATTGTCGATTGAAACAAATTTTGTCAACTCCGCGACGATGCGCAAAATTTGGCGTCAATATGTATGCGAGCTCGTTTGTATGTATGTATATAAATATGTATGTTTGTCGGCAAAGTCGTCATTTGGTTTTTTCAACAACACAATGTCTGCGCGAACTCGCCGTTATTTCGTTGGCTTGCCACTATACACAGAGGCGTTCTAACTGAAGACTCTTAGTATATTATTATGTTGCTTATTTTGTATTGAAAAATACTAATGCGTTTATGAATTATTTTCGTAATATAATATATATTATATATATATATATAAATACACATATATTCATACCTATAATCGTTTTTAAACTAAATTCGATAAATAAAATATATATCTGAAATAATTATGTGGCAGTGCGCCCCAATCCCTCCTTGCCTGCGATCGTTCAACTCGCAAAAAGCAAAAAGTGTGGACAAAAGTCATTGCTTGTGCGGGGCAAGAAGAAGCAAGCATCAGCGTACGTGTACTCATGAATGTATGTGTGATTATCACATTTGTGTAAATACGCATAAATAAAGGAATATGCAATAAACCCAAACATATGAACATATTTTCCTGAAATATTTTAATTATCTCAGGAAGTTAAATATGCTATTAAAGTAATTGAATTATGATATGCTTAGATTCCAATTAATAAAATAAAAATTAAATAAAATTTCAGTTTCATGAGTTTTAGGATTCGAACGTATAGGTTCGTATTCGGATTGTGCTTAACCCCTTCCCGCTTACGACCTCAGCCACCACAAAAGTGGAAACGTGGCCGCTTAGCCACCGTTTTATTATTATCATTTGTTTAATAAGTATATTGCTTACGCAACGCACATACATAAGTTGGAAAAATAGCCTATTAAATGTTTATTTTATTATGAATTCTGGGGTTTTTACCGGTAATACAGATTTTTAATTCAAAAGGTTTTTCATAATTATAAATTTGTCATATCATAGAAATTGAAAACATAAATCTAAATAGGTATGCGCAACGATTTTTCATATAGGAATATTCGTTGTGTCTATTTATAGCATTTCGCACATTGTGTGGTGTATTTTTCTTTTTCGAAGTTATATTTTTCGATGTTCCCTCTTGTGGAATTACAAATTAGTACTCAAAAAGTTTTCATTTAACATTTGCTCCTTCTCTACTCATCAACATTCTCTGGCACAACTTACATTCGGATGTTTTTTGACTTCCAGTAGGAAGTAAATTTTACCTTTCAATGCACGCATATATTTAATTCTCATTTGTAAGAAACCTTTTTGTTGAGCTCTTATGGGGAGTGCTATAAAATATGACGAAATAACGAGAACTTGCTGAGCTTATAGTTTTCGCATTCTAGCTATAATTATTACTTATATTTGGTGGGGAAACTCGCTATGAATTGCTTGCGAATATCGTATATAATATGCACTATTTTTTATACGTTCTGTGGTGAAACGATATTTTACCATATTTTACGTTCTCACGAGATACGATCTTTATAATTGAGCGTATCTTAGCAGTCTGCTCAAAGAACGTATATATATCTTATGATAAAGGTTCTCAGCGTTCTCTGCCAACGTTTTTGAAATTTAAGACTTATGATCTTCCAGAAACAAATAATATAATTAACTTATATGTATTTGAAAATATTCTCCGAAAATTAGAAATTATTTATAAACATTTTTTAACTTAGTGTGGGCACCTTAAACTTGAGACGCATTCTTCTTGAAATGCTGTTTTCGGACTCGGTGAGAAAAATTACTTTGTAACGGCTTGACGGATCGACTTGAAATTCTACAGAAACTTCTAAAATATATTTGTCAAGTAATGCTCGACGGTATAAGCGTTTTGATAAAAACTTCGATTTTTTAAACCAAACCGACTTTAAGAGTTTATAAAAGCTTTTATTAAAACTTACCGGAAAATTTCAATTTGCGTCTTTTCAAATAAAAACTACAATTTAAAAAGTTTACATTTAATTTTTCATAAATTCTTTATTAAATCGACGTTTAAAATTGTCATAAATTTTTCATTTAACATTACTTAGGGTTTTCATAGCTTTTATTTATAATCTCTTATTCATTTATTTATTTTAATAATTATAATATTAATTCTGCGTTTACACCGCCATTTCTTTCCAAAGCGAGTATAATGGATACTTTCGCTTTTCTACAAATTCTTTAAACGTGAAAATGCTGGTTTCTTTACGCACTTTTCCTTCCATTCTTTTGCGTCGCAAACGCTTTTTTTTTTGGGTTTATTTAAAATTTCTTAGTTTATTTATATTTAAATTAAGTTTGTCTTTCATATTTTCAATATCGTTTTGATTAGTTAAGCTTCCTAAATGTGTTTGTTTTCGTTTGTAATTTGTTCTTTTGCCTTACATATTTCTATAATTATCTTCAAATCGTTACTTTAAATAAATTCTATACGTTTTTGTGTGTGTATTTTCACCAAAGTTAAGTATTTTCATTTTTATTTGTTTAATATCCGTTTTTTACAATACACATTTATAGTAAATTTATTTAATTATATTTTTTTCGCTTTACGTTTTCACTTTTCATTTCATCTATATCTAATACACTGTTGCTTTAAGTGCAAAATGCAATTTAATTAGCATTTAAAAAATGTAACAGCATAACATTATAAGTATTGTACAATAAAATTGAAAACATTTGGAATATTTGCTATGGAAAATATTTATACAATTGCAGAGTAGTAAAATAATAATTAAAATAAATAAATAAAGTAACAGATAATTTTAAATTACTACTTTTAATAAAATATCTAATAAAAAGCTTAACTTGAAAAGTAAAAATGAGTCTTAAAAATAAAAAGTGAAAAATAAATAAAGTAATTTATGAGTCTCTACATATTTTTCTTTAATAATTTTAAGTCTTCAAAAAACAACTGAAATTATTATAATTTTTAGGTTTTTTGTTAAAATTTTGAGAAGTAATTGAGTTTTGAGAACGAATTTGAATAAATACAGCTTTAAAATTGTTAAACATCAAGAAATAATGATTTATGGATGGTTTGGTACTTTTTTGTGGTTAAAAAAATTTCAAAATTATTAAAAAGTATATATTGTACATTTACATATCACCACTCTCGATAAAAAAAATGTAACACTATTTTTCGCCAAAAATATCTTCGTAGTTTGTGTCAATTATATTATATTTTAAGACTGATCCAGGTTAATGAAAAATTAAAATAATTTTCAAACAATAAAACAAATTAATAATTAGTTTGTAATTTTCTAAAGCTATTCAAAATCAAAAAGGGTAATTGTTCCGTTCTTTTATATAATAAAAAACAAAAAATCGAAATAATAAAAAAAATATTTTTTAAACAGTCAGCAGTATTTTGTTTATTTTTCAAACAACTTTCACAAATTTTGAACTTTTTAACACATTCAAATTCGTTTTTTGTTTCAAAATATTTGATTTCCTTTAACTCAATAATCACTTGTATCAACTTTAAAACAATAAAGCAATTTAAAAATTTTCTTCGATATTTTAAAAATTTTTTTAAATAAAAATTTTTGATTTTTTTTCAATTAAAAATTTTTTCAATACTAAAACTTCATTAAATAAATATTTTTAATTTTTTGTACATCAACTTTTTTAAAATAATTTTAATAAATTTAATTTCAAAATTTATAAAAATGTGTTTGAAATTTTTTAACAAATATAATTTTTTAAAACTTTTTAAAATAAAGATTTTTTAATATTATGCATTTAAAAGAATTTTAATAAATTTAATTTTTTTCATATTAAAAATATTTTGTTAAATTTTTTTTTGATAATTATTTTCAAACTTACATAAATTTTGAAATTTTTAAAAATGTGTTTGAGTATTTATTGTTTAAATGAAAATATCATTCAAATTGGTCTCTTATTTCATAATAATTAAATAGCTTTAACTCAAAAATTTCCTTTAAAATACATGCACATTAACAAAAATAAAATTTAAGTTCATATATGAAATAGAAACAGCAAAAATCTATCAAAATAATAATTAAATTAAAAAGTAAATATACAAAAAACTATAAGAGTTATAAAAATGGAAATAATAATATTAGCAATAACAATAATAAACAACCAAACTAAAATAAAGTAAGCTTTTAAATAAATAATATATAAATTGTTTACATTTACAAAATTAATCTCAATTTTTTTAATATCAAGCAAAAACTATTAAATAACCATTATACTTATTTTATTAGAAGCTATAAGTAACTGATTTTTATAAGCTAATAAAATATTGTATTATAATAATTTACATATTTATTTTTACTTGCATTCTGTAGTTTTTGCTAATAATATTTTTTTAGTATCACCCTGTATAAAATTTTTCATAATATTTTCGCAGTTTTTGGCTTTTTTCAGAAGTTACGCGATTATCAAAGTGGAAAGCAAATTTGTTTGATAAAAAATATTTTCGAAATATTGAGAAAAAATTGGATAAATAGTAAGTGAAGCAAATTTTTTAAAACCATTTTATGAAATATAAATATAAACAAATTTTTTCTCTGTAATCTCCGAACAAGAGCTTTTACCGCTTAGATTGTTGTTGGGTTTTCAATTTCTTCAATAATAAAAATTTCAATAATTTCAACAAGACTATTTTAATACCCAAAAATTAAACGAATTTAGGAAATTTTTTTTAAAATCATGATACAAAGTCTAACACAATGAAGCTCTCTCTTTACAACTCACTACTAATTCGCGTCCTTCTATCAAATAGCTTTCAAATAAAGTTTATTTAAACAGAAATTTTCGAGATACATATGTAGCAAATAATAAGCGACATTTAAGAATTCAAAAAAGCCTTATAATATTACGTAAAATGTTCAATAGAAAGCATTACATTGAGAGAAAATTTAATAATTTTATGCCCTTTTAAGTGACAGTTTTACACTCGCGAGCATTAGCTCGATTTTTGTATTTGACTATTTGCGATTGCGTTCCACTCTCTGCTATTGTTGTTTTTATTACTATTATTTTGTGATTGGTTTCAAGAGTGAGATTTACACATTAAATGTAAATACGTATTTTCTATTTATGTTTTGAGATAGATTCATGTGACTAAACGTTGTTCTAGAGGATATTTGAAGTTAGAAGAAGAAAAATATATGTTTACCTCATATAAATCTGTTTAAAATCCATAAAATTATTTTCTATGAACAGTTAATTATTTTTTCCATTCACTAATTGATTGAGCATGTTTGTAATTCTCAACAAACTTACGAAACTTTATGCTTGGTTTTATTTTTGAATAAATATGAGCTGATAAAGCTTTTCGAAAGCTGTACAAATCTGCTAAGACACAAAATTCTGCTGAGAAAGAGTAAAAATAGTTTATTAATCTGATTAATCGTCCCTAAATCTGAGCACATAGTGGCGACAGTAAGTAAAAGTCAGACTACTGCTTTGTTTATTGCTTTTTAGCGCTTTAATCGCTTTATTAGACGAGCCACTATGGCTTAAAATGAACTTTTACTAAAATTACATAAAAATGCTCAAAAGCTGAGGGACTAAATGTTATTTAGTTTGTAGATTTTAACGTAATATCTCAATGAACTACATTCCAATCTGCTCTAAGTGAAGCCGAATATATCCATGTTAGATTCTTGTTTAGTCACACAGATCTAGTGTTATATATTATTGGCTGCTATTGTAGTTCAAGAAAATTAATGCAAGTAGAACATCTATTTATTACATAGTTTTGCATTTAAACATTTGGCTTTGGCTATTTTTGTTTTTAATTATTTATTTCATTGGTTTTTTGTTGACTTGACTATTTTTTTGTGGTTTTGGTTACTGCTATTATAAGTGTTTTGTTTACTGTTAAAATAGGAACAACCCGCTCACTTAAGAGGGGTTATGGTGAGTTTATGTCTGCTATAGAAAATGCTGCCTACAAAAATTCATGCATCGCGATAAATGAATTCGTTTTTGCTGAGCAAAATTAAACGCTACTTCGTCTACAAAAACTCAAAAGTAATGCCTTTAAAAAATATTTAAAATAAACGGAAACTTTTAAATTAAGCTTTCCGCACTAAATAACCGCACATAGATATTCACCACACAATAAAATGCAACTTTGCGCCGATTTGGTCATTTACTGTTGTTGCACAAGCAGCTGTTCGACCTGATCGGCAGTGCGTAGCAGAAATGCTGCGCTCTCCCGATACGCCGAGATCACCTGACGCGCGGCCGTAATTTCGTTGGGACTCAGTTTGTGCGCCAGTAAAGGCGGTGGGCGTACGGCAGCAGCCGCTGCTACATTGGGATCGTTTAATGAGCCACCAACCATTTGATTGGCATTCATACTGTTCGCCATGATTGCTTGCTGTTGCTGCTGCTGTTGTTGCTGTTGCTGCTGTTGTTGTTGTTGTTGTTGTTGCTGCTGCTGTTGCTGTTGCTGCAGCTGTTGCAGCTGCTGTGTGGCGGTGACGAGCGCATTGTTATTGTTGATAGAAAGACCACCAGTGGCGACCAAACTAGTAAGATTCGGTGCGCCGACACCCATCACGCCGATGTTGTTGTTCGTATTGACGGTGGTTGGGGCGGTAGTGAGTGTAATACACGTGCTGGTGGACGATGGTTTCATGGAGAGATCCGTAGGAGCAACTGTAAGTAGGAATATTAATCATTTAAACGTAAAACTTTAAGAAAATGCTAAGCGAAAACTTACCATTGCCAAGCCCTGCTACACCCGGAAAGTAGCCGGGGTAGGTTGGTGTGCGACCGGCAGCCACTGCCGCAGCGGCAGCAGCTACAAATGGCGATGCTGCTGAAGGTGAAGTGAAATCTGATGGCCGATAAAGTGGACTTGTGGCAGGCAATCCGGCCAGCCCACCCACCGTACCATTGGTAGGCGTATTGCCATTCGATAGTACAGCTGTGAGCGGCTTTATGTCTAGCCCACTAGTGCTGCCACTTACGCTTGTATTCGAACTCAACGCCAACGGTGAGCTGCGCGCTGAGTTAATGCCACCACTGCCACCGCCAACGCCAGCCGTTGAAGCAGCCACAGCTGCAGCCGCAGCAGCAGCTACTGCAGCTGCTGGTGTCAACGAGAGTGGTTCGGCGGCATCGGAGTTTGGTGTAGAACGTGCGAAGCCGCCACCACCGCCGCCAACAAACGGCAGCGTAGATGTTGTGACGGTGGAAAGGGCATCGCCAGCCGAAACCGATGTGATGGTGGAATTACCAACGCCGCCCACAGAGGCGGCGGAACTGGTCGCAGCCACGGCGGCCGCGGCAGCTGCTGCCGCTGCTGCTGCAGCTGCAGCGACGGCTGAACCAGGCGCCGGTATGGCATGTGTGATGGGCTCCAGGCCGATACGCATACGCTTGGCATTCATGGACTCATTCTCGCAGGCGATCGCCAGTATCTGTTCCGCCTGCACGGACGTCAAGTGAGCTGGTGTTGGACGGGTCTGTAGAAAAATACAAGAGTGGGCATTTAGAAAGTTCTTAGTGAATAAGTAGTGATGACATACGGTGTTATCCCAGCCTTCGCGTGTTTTCTTGTTCCGTCGGCATGACTTCAGATACGTTCGTATACGTTTGCGTGAACGATCGCTAAATTCGGGGAATTGTCGTGCACATGAATCAATGATTGCTTGTATTTTTTCTTTTGGCTGTTTGGAAATTGGCACAATGCGATCAAGATTTTCATCCACAAACAAGCGCACGAACATCTAAAGTAATAAAAGCAAGTTAGTAAGTTCCACCCTTCCTTTTAAAATGCACAATGGATACTCACATTAAACGCCTTCAGCCGTTCGGGGTCATGTGTGGCTAACTTCTCGTCTAGCTTATCGTCCGAATCATCCTCAGAGCCTTCATCCTCCTCCTTTTGGCCCGAAGAGTTCGTCTCATCCTGCGCCTCCATGGGCGATGTGACATCTGTGCGCGGCACCGGCGACAAGGATATGTCCATTTTGTTGTTCGCCACATTTTGTGCCAAAGCATTCTGGTATTGTGCCCACAAACCGCCAACAACGCCCAAATCGGGTCCTTCAGTGCCATTGCGTACCGCATTTGAATTCTGATAATTCCAAGCCAACAACATCAGTTTCAATTTGTCCGCATCCTTCATTAAGCCGGCATAGGGATCCGTTTCGGTGTTGTTGTCGCCGCCAACGCTCCCACCCACCGAACCCGCTGCGGCACCAATACCCACAACACCGCCTGTGACACTGCCGCCACCATTGCCGGTCGCATCCGTGTTGGTTGTGGTCGCTGCAGCTGGGATGGTCTCCTGAAGTCAAAGAAAAAATAAACGAAATGATTAATAAGTGAATGTGGAATACCAAAGAAACTGAGCCTGAAGTATAGGTTGGAATTTAAAAAGAATATTTTCGTCATGAGCCAAGCCGCGTCCACTTTGCGCGCGCAAAAGTCTCAAGAGGAACAAAACTTTTGCTAAACAACTGTGGTTTGTTGTCGTCTCCAGTATTGAGAACTTCGGCTGAAAATTTCGTTGACTCGATTCATTTTCACTGAATGTTTCGTTTTACAAACTCTTTTATACACACAAAGTACCACAATCCTTAAGGGCTGCGTTAAAAGAAGACTTCTGAAAATTTCTTTTGATTTTGTGAGTAAATTTTTGGGGAATGGAGCTTCTTAGATCAAGTTAAAGTGCAGATGGTCTCGGTTCAATGCCTGCTGACCGCTTACTGTGAGTGACAATCAATCATGGGTGTAGACCCTTAGTCGAAAGTTTACGTCAGATGCCACGAGTCATCGACTGCCGGTTAAGCAATCTTCATTAGTCGTACACTCACGCTCCTACGTTTGGGTTGGTTATAAACTTTTATGACCAAAAGATAGCCGAGCCAAGTAATGGACACTAACACACACACTACTACACTTACGTGTGTATTTTTTAATTCATGGAAGGCAAACGTAGCATCTAAGAAATGAATAGAAGAACCACAGAAACTTTTTGTACACTGCCCAACAAAAATAGGGCTTAAGGCACTCCAAAGGATACAAATGAATATGAATGTGTATGAGTGGCATATAGTTGTCGTCTACAGTGTATGTATAAATGCTCGAAAAATACAGGACCTCTATGTTCGCCTGCTAAATCGTAGCATAAATGAATATACAAGCATGTGTATATATGTGTGTATGTATAAACGTATGCTTGAGTGCTTCTCCCTTTGGGGTACAATTGAGATAGTACAGTTTATTGAAATACTGGGGGTCAGTGGAAACAAAGTTTCTTATATTTCTTCGCATGAATGATTGAAAGGAGACAAAGTGTGTGCCCATAAAGACTTTTACACAACCCTTTGCGCACTTGCTCATGCTACAAATAATGGGAGGTTTTGCTCTTCTCGAGAGGAAGACGTGCCGTAAAGGAAAGAAATTGATTTAATTGAAAGCTAAGCGCATTCTTTTTTTATATTTCTTTAAAATGCGGTTTGCTAACTTTATCTACCACAATTAAACGGATAAAGTAAATGGAAATCGATGCGATTAAATTGGACTGGGAAACATATAAAAGTCGAGCCGAGTAATTGGAATGAATTGTAATGGGAAGGGTCTCGCTCAAAATAAAAATTTAAAGCGAAAATCCATTTCGTAAAAACGAGTACGAATTGGAAATTTAATTAACATAAAGTTCGTAATATAATTAAATTACGTGCAGCAGAATTTCCAGCTTTGCTGCTGGGTTTGGAAGTGGTTGCATTTTTAGACCTATTTCATGCCACTCCTCGTAAGCCGAGGAACTGTATCTGTAGTTCTTCGATGATAATTAGCTATAGCTAGATTTTTGTAATGGTACCTAATCGATATATACAAAATAGTGGTATAAAACCGGTCTCTATACATCATTTGGAATTGAAAAAATGAGTTCTAAATTATTGCAGTTGTAGTTTTGCACATTGCGTTATAACATTTTCAAGAACAAAAGACTAGAACCCATTCAAAATAGAAGAAAGAAGGAATGATATCTATAGATCGACATGACAGACTTTCAGAGCAATTTCAATTTGCCTAAAAGATCTATTTCTACTTATAAACCTCGCCAATTTTTAGAGCAATTCCGATTTGCTTGGAAGATCTCTTTCTTCTCATAACCATAGCAAAAACTTTGGATATTATTTAATATAAAATATAGAATAAAAAATAAATAAAGAAATAAAAACCTTTGAATTCCAAACGTCCCAAAATCACTTTCGCATGAAAATTCAAAAGAAAATGCTTTTTACGTCATTTGTTGCTACTTTAGCAGATTAAATATAGCGTTGATTCAGCTTTTTGCTTGCCTTATTCGCTACTCTTTCCTCTAAACAACTGCGTGTGTGTTTTCCAAAAAAGCAGCGTCTTTACATTTTCCAATGCCAAATACCAAACACTTTCATCTTAACAACAAATAATGCCACAAATAGTTCTCAGCTCGTCGGTGTCGGTAGCTGCGCCTAAAAGCAGACTATCATACATGCAAATGCATACTCGTAATAAAATTTACAAACACAGATACACATGTATGCAACCATTTGACTGTGTGCATTAAAGTTCTTGCTTTCTAGTCAGTCAAGAAGCTAAAACAACAACAGCGCCCGTTAGTTTTCTTAACTTTCTACTCTTCCTACAACATGTCTTCGAGAATTATACGGAGTAATTGTTGCTGGTGTAGAGAATTGTCTGCTGTTTTAGTTAGACTTTCAATGGCACACTATGAACACCAAATAATTATAATGTTATATGTGTCCTTCCTTCTTCTGAGTGAAATGCCTTCAAGTATTTGAACTTGTGAAACACTACGGCACTTAGACTTAGGTAGTTTAATATAGAGTGAAATGAAGTGTATAGTTAAAGAAAATTAGAGAAATTCATTTTATTAAGGTTTCAAGAAACTCATTATTGTATATGGAACTTAAAAATAGCTTATATTGTTTCCATTAATTCTATCTAGTTAATAGTACAAAGAAATAGCTCTGAATATCTATCGATATAGCTCTCCAAAAATATGTTACGTCAATATTTCGGTATTCCCTAATATTAAAATGCCACAGAATATGTTGAAAAAATTATCATAATATTCGCTTTTCTCAATTCAATTAAAATGTTTAAGGCTGATCTCGATTTCCAGGTTTGTCTATAACTCAAAGACCACTTTTCTCTATGAAGAAAATAGAATCTCGGAATATTTTAACTTATAAGTTGCCTCAAAAGTATATTTTTTACAGGAATCTTTAAATGTGCTTGAAACAATGCCTAGAAGAATTACAGTCATAATTTATAGGACCATATATGTACATGGTTAGGTGCATATCGTTGCACTACACTTCTAGCCTACTCTAGCACTAGCGTTCCTTACTTAGTTCTTATTAAAAAAAAAATCGTTAGACATCCCAGCTAGGATTGGCACCTAAAAGTAGGCAAAGCAAAAAAATTAAGCTTTTGATTGACACTGTTGCTATTATCATTGCAATGTCCAGCAACAAAGTGCAATTATGTATGGAAATACGGAGGGGGTGTGGCTGAAATTGCAAACTAACTACAATTAGGTTTGACCAATTTTTTTTAAACACTCACTACACATACCATATATATAAACGAGGTTATGACAGTAAAAAAGCTCTTTGAGCCCTTAAGTTGCATAGTATTAAAAAAGCGAACATAAAAAGTTACTGTATAACCTTAAAAAAAGTAAATGAGGTGTGTGGATACGTGACTCTAGCTTGAGTTATAAGAAAATATTGAAAAAGAGTGATCGCGACAGGTACTCGGTACCGCCAGTATTTTGCTGAACAATTCAGTATGTGTGAATTAGTGCTGGTAGCGCATTTGTGTATCTGTTTATGGTATATGCATAGCCAGGCTCGCTGGAGTTAGAAATACAAGTGCTCACCTCCCAGTAAAGGGCGACAGCACTAATTCTTTATGTGCGCTCACCTTCATTAATTTATTTATGCATACAACAGATTTTTATGCAACAACATGTAACAGTAACTATATTTCAATACAATATATTTACATTTTATGCGTACATATAACTATTTTGCGCGCTTTCCACTACGCTATGCGCCTAAATGTAGGCAAACACATGCCTTTACTTATGTACTCATGCATATGCGACCGCACATATTGCGTTGTCCACCCATGCTCGTCTCTGCTGACAGACTTTTATTTAAAATAAATTTTATTTTATATTTAAAATATAACGGTATTGTGTTGTGTAGCGGGAAAGGCATAAAATATGCAAAATAAAGTAAAATTACGCGCAACGCTGTTTGATGGGTTTGTCAATGTGTGTGTGGCAGGCTATAGTTGCGTGTCGAAACGAAACAAACCAGACAGTTTGCAAAAAAAAAAAAAGATAGTAATAACAAAATCAGCAAACCAATGGCAGTTTGTGCGGCGAATGCCATTGCAATGCGCCTAAATGCATGCTAGCGTTTTTAGCATAGCAAAAGGTATTGTATATATTTACATATATATCTATATAGTGTATACATATGTAGTATATTATATATATTTTTTTATTAAACCATTGTTTTGTGTCATTTTAGCAGCATTGCAACACTGTGCAAGCTTTGCTAGAATGCACACACAATTTAACTAAGGAAAAAGTAAATAAGTAAATAAGCCGAAACAACAGAAAGCTTTTTAAAGCGAAATAAAATTAATTAAATTAAAATGAATTGAATGTCTATGCAATAAAATAAAATAAATTACAATTAAAACACAAACGTTTTACGATCGGCGCAAAATGTGGCAAACTACGGACAAGCAACGCAGAAAAAGTGTGACTGGGTGTGTGTTAGGGAGGAAGGCAGAAGAAGAGCAAGCAGTGCAATGTATAACAAAAATGTTAAGCAAATAACGGCATATATCTGTCGCCGTGCAGTCGCGCATATTATTTGTTTACACTTGTTTTTTAACGAACTTTATTTTATTTTGAAAATTTTAGCGTTGGTATGCGGCTTGTAGCAGTGAACTCAAAACTAATTTGATGTGGCCACTTCATGTGTATATATGTAACTGAATGCAGACACAAAGTCATGAGCGCGGCAACGTTAGCAATATTATATACATGGTAACACGGCGCCACCCCCACTAATGCACAGTACTGACACCATGTCGTTGCGCCTAAATGTATGTCAACTAATGTAAAGTGCGCTGTGTGTGTAGATAATGGATGTACAGTGGCACGAAGGTGCTTTAAATTTAAAAGGATAATGTATTTTTTTAAAAAATGCAAAATATAGAATTTTGAGATTAAAAGTCGTAAGCTAT